CCCAAGTCGCCAGCACAGAGGCCTCCGCAGACCCGAGCAGCCTACACTGGGTCTCAAGCTCATCACAAGTCACCGCCCACCGCTCGCTGCCCAGAGCTCTTGTTCTGTCACGAACACGCAGGAAGTCACAAAGCACGGGCCGCTGTGGCAGCACTGCGGTGTGAAACATGGGCATGACCTAATGTCCAACCAGGGGGCTAGCCCAGAGACTGACACGCACAGGCGGGTGGGCTGTGCGCCCTCCACAGGCAGAGCTGGTGTGAGGCCAGGATACCAACGCCCGAATGATGAACATAAAAGCACACAAAGCCAGCGCTGGTGGCTCCTGCCTATAATCCCAGCCACTCAGGAAGGAGGGAGGGAGGAAGGGAGGGAGGGAGGGAGACGTCGCGTGTTTGCACACAGGGAAGGGTCAGTGAGCTTTCTAAGACCGATTTCAAGCTGGACAGTGCGGGTGTCTCATACAAAACTAAACTCCTATCCACAAAAGTTAAGACCCAATGGGAATAGCCATGAACAAAAGCACTCTGACCTGCTGCGCCCCTGTGGGAGGGGAGGGTGGGGGGCGCTGCCGCAGGGAGGGGAGCTCAGGAGGGCTCTGGGGCTGCCTCCCGCTCCCTCAGGAAGGGCCGGGCCTCCGTGCGGGCCGCACACGACCGCACACGACCACCAGCGCCGGCACTGCGGGTTCCTGGTGCTTTCTTCCACCTTTAACTTTGGACTTTGTGGTCTGGGGCTTGAACTCAAGGCCCCACAAGCGCAGGGCAGGTCCGGCTCACCCCCGTAGCTCCTGGGCAGCTTGGTGACATCAGCTAAAAGGACAACAGGTCAGTGTGACAGTGGCACTAGGGTGATGCAAAGGGAGAGCGTGTCGCTGCGTGACACCTCGGCGCTGCACAGCGCGTGCCACATGCAGCACCAGGAGGCTGCACAGCGCGTGACACATGCAGCACCAGGAGGCTGCACAGAGTGTGCCACATGCAGCACCAGGAGGCTGCAGAGCGCGTGCCACACGCAGCACCAGGAGGCTGCAGAGCGCGTGCCACACGCAGCACCGGAGGCTGCACAGCGCGTGCACCAGGAGGCTGCACAGAGCGTGCCACACGCAGCACCAGGAGGCTGCAGAGCGCGTGCCACACGCAGCACCGGAGGCTGCACAGCGCGTGCCACACGCAGCACCAGGAGGCTGCAGAGCGCGTGCCACATGCAGCACCAGGAGGCTGCAGAGCGCGTGACACACGCAGCACCAGGAGGCTGCAGAGCGCGTGACACATGCAGCACCAGGAGGCTGCAGAGTGCGTGACACATGCAGCACCAGGAGGCTGCACAGAGCGTGCCTCATGCAGCACCAGGAGGCTGCAGAGCGCGTGACACATGCAGCACCAGGAGGCTGCAGAGCGTGTGACACATGCAGCACCAGGAGGCTGCAGAGCGCGTGCCACACGCAGCACCGGAGGCTGCACAGCGCGTGCCACACGCAGCACCAGGAGGCTGCAGAGCGCGTGCCACATGCAGCACCAGGAGGCTGCAGAGCGCGTGACACACGCAGCACCAGGAGGCTGCAGAGCGCGTGACACATGCAGCACCAGGAGGCTGCAGAGTGCGTGACACATGCAGCACCAGGAGGCTGCACAGAGCGTGCCTCATGCAGCACCAGGAGGCTGCAGAGCGCGTGACACATGCAGCACCAGGAGGCTGCAGAGCGTGTGACACATGCAGCACCAGGAGGCTGCAGAGCGCGTGACACATGCCGCACCGGAGGCCCAGTGACCATGGCTGGAATAACAGTGCTCCTGGTATCCACGATGGCTTGTGGCCGGCTCCCGCCCCGCCAGCTCTGCCCGGGCAGCACGGCGGCAGCGCTGGGACACTTGGAGCTCCTCACTCACGGCCAGCCCGCTCTCCAACACAGACGCTTCCCGTGAGATGCGACTTCTTTCCTGACAAGCACCACGCAGGCACATTACATGTGACCCACAGATTTTAAGAAGACAAAATACAAAAAAAAAGAAATCATTGTGCTTTCTCCTTAAAGAGGCAAATATCCAAGGACTTTTCTCTGGGAAGCAGGTGGAAGCATCATTATACAGAACATGTTGAGACACAGAACAGAAAGGGGATGCACACTAGGGCCCAAATGGGAGACGTCTTAGCCAATCAAAGGACAACTGGCCTGTGAAATCTGTCACTCACATCTTAGGAAACCAATGCTCAGTGAGGATGGAGCCCTCGGCTGGAGCTACGCACACCCACACATATCTGACGCCGGTTAAGATGAAGGCCGGACACAGTGGTACATGCTCGTAATCCCAATTAGGAGGGAAGCAGAAACAGGAGGATAGCAGCCTGAGTCCAGCCAATGCAAAAGTGAGCAAGGCTCGATCTCAAGCCCGGTGTGATGGTGCACGCCTGTATCACCAGCTAGGCAGGAGGCAGATGGGGAGGTTCACAGCGGAGGCAAAAAACGTGAGGCTATTGTAAAAACAGCTAACAAAAAAGTATGCAGCATGGCTTACATGGTAGAATGCTCAGCCAGCAACCGAGAGGCTCTGAGTTCAAACCTCAGCCCCAACAATAATAACAAAAACGTTGAAGATGATGTGTTTTATATGTATTTCACCACAATATAAAAATGAGGGAAGCCCAGCTGACAGCTGCGGAGTCCGAGCCCGGGCTGCTTCTGCCTGCCTGAGCTCTGTGCAGTGCTGCGCGTTTCAAGCTGCACCAAATTTCACAAGGCTCTCTCTCTCTCTCTCTCCTGTCTTCCCCTCCCCAGCTCTAAGGACGGAGCCGGGAACCGGCACACGCTAGCCAGGCAGGTGCTCCACATCAGCAACACACACCGCCCCGCCCCCCACCCTTCGCTGACACCTCACCCTGACCTCAAGGTCACCCCATGAACCCACCAAAGCCGTGTGCACCTCCGGCTGCCACGCGCTGCCTGACTGTCCTAACCACGCGAGGAAGGCCGGATTCAAACCCCGGCACTCAAACCACAATGCGTGCATTCTCACCATCAATGGACCGTCATCACCACCATCTTAAAATGTAATTCCTAGCGCTAGGGCCATGTCTCCAGTGGCAGAGCACCAGCCTAGCAGGCCCAAGGCCCCGAGTTCAAGCTGCAGTTCTCTTATTACTAATAACAAAAACAATAGCATCAACTGACTGGTGCATATTTGAACCTTACTGTTGTTCACAACAGCCCATGAACATGCGCCTTGCCATTTTACAAATTCAAGAACACGGGAAGCAGGGAGTGACTTGCCAAGGCTTCGTTGCTGGTAGGCGTCAGAAGGAAGAGGCGAAGGGGCAGGGGTAGGGATGAAGGGGCAGGGGTGAAGGGGCAGAGGTGGAGGGTCACAGGTGGCTGCCAGGCACTGTCACCAGCCTGCCCCTCTTCCTGCTTCCCACAAGGCAAAACCAGGAGAAAGGACGGCGCACCTCTGGTGTGGTTGGGAGAAGGCGCTGGGCTTCCAGCAATGCCAGCAGGAGGGAAGAGGAACGGCGTGTGGACAGCTGGGGCTGCAGGTGTGCGCGTCCCGGCCTTCCCCAGAGGTTGGCCACAGCAGGGCTTGGCTGGGGAGGGGGGGGGGGGCCAGGCCTCTGCAGATTCCTGAGTGCGGTGGATTACAGGCTGCAGCGCGCGAGCTCAGCCTCTGACTCACAAGCCAGTGACTGATACGAGGGTAAATACTTCTGAACACAAGAGGCCAGACCGCAGGGGACTGCGTGGAATGCAAGGACAGCAGACAGCACAGGGCTGCTGCAGCACCGCCAGGATAGACAGATGGATGGACGGACTGCTGTCTATGGGAGGAAGCAAAGACCCTTGGACCACACCTCCCGGCCGTGGGCAGCAGCCTCCTGGGGGGTGAGACTCCAGAGGAACTGGGTGGTGGGCTGGGCTGACGCATCCGTGGGGGAGGGGCTGGGGAGCCCCTCCCCTCCCCCACGGGTCCCACATGTCCCATGGGACACAGCTCTCACTGCGGACAGGGCTGGGCAAGGCCAGGGTGTCTAAGCCCTGGAGACACTCGGGGTGCGCCTCCACTCTGGGTGAGTGCTGAGGGCTGAGCTGGAGGGGAGGGGAGGGGAAGGGGCCAGAGTGGGCCCCCACACAAACACGGCCGCCAAACCCAGCTTCTGAGCACTTCAGTTTTGACCCCTTTCAGGCTGCAAATGAGAAACTGAGGCCCAGACATTGGCACAGTTTATACTGAGACAGCGGGTGGAAATGGAGATGCACTGTAGGCATAAGCTGCTGTGTTGACGGGAAACCCCTTTGTACAACTACTCAATAATAATTGTAAGGTGACCGGAGGCGGGCAGACCCCTCCCTCCTCCAGTACAGCGGCACCTGGGTGACCGGCACACCTCCCCCTCCTGAGGTCACACCTCCCACCCCACCGGGAGAGGGTAGAGGGTCCCAGGCCCGGAGGTCACATCCTGCATCCAGTGTGGCCACACCTCCCCGTGCCGGCCACACCTCCTCCCCGCCCCTGGCCTAGCTAAGTCCTGGCCAGGGTAGCTCATCATCCCTTCCCAGCCCCACGGGGCCCCACAAGGCCCCACAGGGCAGGCAGTGGGGAATAATACATCATGGTGTTCTCACTCATCGGCTACCTACTTTAATTTACCTTACACTAATAACAGCAGCAGCCATCCAGGGGGCCGGGGGAGGGCCAGCACCCAGGACTTCTGGTGCCAGGCAGCATCTCCAACCCCTGCGGCAGGGCCCTGGCAGCCCCCGGGCCGGCCGCGCCCCGCACACACAGGCCAGCTCCCCCTCCCACAGGGGGACCCCAACCCCAGCCCCACACGTGGCCTCCTTGCCCTCCAGGCCGAAGGCACCAGCTCCACCCCTCCTCAGTGGTGGTCCCCCCTCCCCCCTCCTCGGTGGCGGTCCCCCTCCTCGGTAGCGGCCCCCCTCCTCGGTGGCGGTTCCCCCCTCCTTAGTGGCAGTCCCCCCCTCCTCGGTGGCCGGAGGGGACACTCACAGGTGCGGGCTGAAGATGCGGGTCATCTTGGAGACACGGTCGTTTTCACAGTCCAGCTCGTCCCCCGGCTCTGCACTCAGCTTCCTCTTGCTGGGGCTGATGGGGGGCGGGCCCGTGCGGTGGCCGCTCAGCGCCGACGCCACCGCCACTGTCTGCATCCTGGGCTCTCCCCGGAGAGCGGCTTCACCTGCGCAGGGAGACAGGACACTGTGGTCACGAGGGGCGACAGTGCAGCCACCGCCCACCCCGGCGCCTGCCCGCCCAGACCCTGGCTGTGGAAAGTTCCGGCATGGAGAAAGGCGGATGGTGACGGGCAAAACCATCCACTGCCAAGTAGGGGGCAGGCGACATGGTGGGGGTGCAGCACTTGGAGTTGAAAGGAAACAAGGCCGGGAGACGGCAGAGGGGTCAGCAGTGAGCAGCATCTGGAAAGGGAGACCCCGAAGCCGTGGGCTCCAACACTACACGGAGACCGAGTCCTGAGCACCCCAGACCACCACCACGCCAGCTCCCTGCCAGCTCCCTCCACACTTACGTGGACATTGTGTTGTTATTTAAAAGAAAAAAGAGCAAAGGGAGTTGGGAGGCCTGGCTCAGTTGGTAGAGGGCCAGTCAATGAGCCAAAGAGTCAGGTACCCAGCTTCAGTTCCATTCTCAAACAGGGAAAGAGAGGAAGGGGAAGCAGACGGGGAAAGAGAAGACTGGGCTTACAGTGTCATCCTCACTACTCACAAGGTTGAGACCTAAGGTTCACGGGTCAAAGCCAGCCCCAAGACAAACCTAAGAGAGGTCTCTATATTAACCAGCAAGAGGCCAGAAGTGGAGCTGAGTTCAAGCAGTAGAGCCTTGAGTGGAAAAGCTGAGGGACTGTGACCAGTCCCTGAGTCCCTGAGTCCACGCCCCAAGATGAGAGACAGAGACACACAGAGAGAGAGGCATGAACCAATAGTTCACATTTTCCTGGAAGTAATAAGAAATGTGATCTAATGAGGAGTAAACACTTTATTCTTATGGTATATTAAAAAGGATGTGTCAGATATAAATCATTAAATACATATATTATTCTCCGCAGGAAGCTTTGTCATGGACTTTGCATAAGCAAATTGTCCGGAGGCCGGACGGGGCCCGGGGCTGGGCCACGGTCCGGCTGGCGTCTGAGTCTCCCGGCTGTCGGGGGCTGGTGCTGGGTGAAGCCTGGTGGCTCAGGAGCTGAAATACGCATGACCTTTCTGGATAATGAAGGCTTTGTACCTTCTAAACTTATAAACAGGAGTAATGAGTACTTGGGAGAGAAGCACGGGGCCGCAGACAGTGGCCGCTTGTGGGGCAGCATGGCGGGGCTGGCACCGCTGGAGGAGGCCCAGCCCGGCCTGAGCCCGCCATGGGCGACGGGCGGCGGTCCTGACTGCCACCCCGTCACCGCGGACGCACGCGGCTCTGCCAGCCGAGAGACGGAGCGGCACGGGGCCTTTGGAGCGTTTACCAGAAAAACAAGAGCCCTGCCGGACGGGTGAGCCGGCGCCAGCCTGTGAGCTCGCGGCGACCCACGCCCGCCTCACACACCGCGCGTGTGACGGACTCTGGCCCTGTGGCAAACTGGAACTTTCCATTTTAAATTTAATACCCCAACACACAAGTGCCGTGCTGTTCGGCCACTCTGCGAAGTCCAGGGTGACAGGGGCGGGGCCTTGGCGGAACACCAATCACCCGCGTGGGGCTCGCTGTGACATTTCACAGCCACCACCAGCGGCATCCCCTCCCCCGACCCCGTGGTGAAACAATGCCGGTGCAGCGGTGCAGCTCCGAGGTCTGCTTCCACACACACCACCAAATGACACAAGAACCAACAAGCAGGTGCCGTGCACCCCGGCTAGTCACAAGAGACCCGAGGACTGAGGCCAGCCGTAGCCTAGGCAAAGTTAGTAAAACTCCATCTCCACAATAACCAGCACGAAGCAAGACTGGAGGCATGGCTCAAGTGGTAGCTTCCAGCCAGCAACCCCAGCAGCAGCAAACAAAATTTACAAACATGAGGAAGAAGAGGAGGTGGAGGTGGAAGTGGAGGTGGTGGAGGTAGAGGTGGAGGAGGTGGAGGTAGAGGTGGAGGAGGTGGAGGTGGAGGTGGAGGTGGAGGTGGAGGTAGGGGTAGAGGTGGAGGAGGTGGAGGTGGTGGAGGTAGAGGTGGAGGAGGTGGAGGTGGAGGAGGTGGAGGTGGAGGAGGTAGAGGTGGAGGAGGTGGAGGTAGAGGTAGAGGAGGTGGAGGTGGTGGAGGTAGAGGTGGAGGAGGTGGAGGTAGAGGTAGAGGAGGTGGAGGGGGAGGGGGAGGACAGGGAAAGGGGAGGGGGAGGGAGGGACGAGCAGGCAGGACCTTCCTGCATTCCTAGTGGGAATACAGTGATGTAACCACAGAGAAACAGTGTGAGGCACAGGCCCAAGAGAAACCACCCCGTATCCACGCAGGTCCTCGCAGCTCCATGCAGCTGAGTCTGTGCCTGTAACTGACGAACAGCCACACACAACGGGGCTGATCCCAGCAATGGAAGCGTATGCAGACAATGAAGAGGAATAAAGAACTGCTTAGGGCCGTGACCCGGATGAGCAAAGTACAAGGAGCCAGGCGCAAAGCATTATGTTTCTTCTCACTCCACTGGTGTGAAATTTCCAGAAGAGGCAAATCCAGAGGCTGAAAGGAGCCCGGGGGCGGCTTAGCGGGCTTCTGTTTAAGGACAACCAAACTGGGCGCAGTTGGTGGTGGCAAAGGCGGCCCAACTGTCCTGGGTGACATCTCAGCAGGGCGCCGCTCCCCCGAACCAGAGCGGCCTCCAGGTAGGTGACAAGACTCCAACATCATCACATTCCCTGTCGCAATCAATAATCCGGGTTAAGGTATTCTCACATCCTTCTCCCCTCGGGTTGGGTTCCTCCATCCTTAACTGTTAAACAAGACAGAGCAGACATTCCTGTGTGCCCTGAAATAAACACACACCTGCGATTACAGCTGACCTACCCCAGCTCAGCCAGATTCAGAAACATTACAAAGACAAAGTGTCATCCGATGGAGACCACGGAGGCTCACGGGCTCTGGGACCATCAGGAGCTCCCGAGGGGCTGATGGCCGTCTCTTCGTGTGTCCTCGTGTGTCCCCTGCACAAGGAGCCAGCAAGTGAAGGAGAGAGGATGGTCTTTCTTTTCCAAATATAAACAGGAGAGAGGAGATGAGCTAACTGAGCGCCCGGGGTTTCCTGAGCCTCTCAACGTGGCTTTACTACAACCGTCCACTCAGCGTTTTAAGGAGGTCCCTCTGTGAAGATGTACTTGGCCTTTTAAAATGAGGATGTGTGTTGCTGAAGAAAATGCCCAATGTACGTGGAAAAGTATGACCGTGCTATTTTGAATCACGGTGGCAACTCTAACATAAGCAGCAAAAATCCTCCTCCAGGACTCTGGTTTGTGGAGGTGGCCCTTTGCTGCTGAGCCGTGCCCCCAGCACCGTTTTGCACTGGCTATGCTGAGATGGGTTCTTGTTTCCTGTGTGGGCACACTGGGACCTCAGCCTTCCTCTTTTTACCTTCTCTTTGTAGCGAGGGTGACAGGTAAGTACCACCAGGCCCAGCTTTCTCCCTTGAGATGGAGTCTCGGACTTCATTGTCTGGGCTAGTCTGAGCAATCCCAGCTTCCTATGCAACACTGCACCCAGCTACGGGTGAAGTAGGGGTCTCTTCAACTTTTCTGACAGGGCTGGCCTCAAACCATGATCCTCCTCACCTCAATCAGCTAGAATGACATCTGTGAGCCACCACCAGCTCCCAGCTAACTTTCAAGGATGGGTTTTTCTTTTCTCTACAAAAATCTCTATGCCTTGCCCAACAGAAACTTTCTATTCTCCTCCACGCATGGCCTTGATCTATGTGAACCTAAAGTCAAGACAAAACCACAGCTGGGCTACCCGGCTGCGCTGACTGTCTCCTGTCTGACCACAGCCACGACAGCGTGCTGACATCAGCACGTGGGCGGCAGCCATTCGCTTCAGAAGAGCCGCGGGACCCTCCCGGCCTTCTCCCCGGCCGACTCCCACGGCTCCACCAGGACGGGGCGGTGCAGAGCAAAGCCCACCCTCCAGGCCAGCTCGGATCCCTCCCCCCTCAGGAAGGAGCGGCTGGAGGGGGCACCGTGAAATCGGCAGCGCCAGCTATGGCCGCCCTGTTCCGATTCCCTTTGCTGTGGATTTTCACCTCATGGAGGACCTTAAGGCAGCCTGGCGAAGCATGCCGACCTCCGGGTGTAATTCCAGCACCTGGGGTCCGGGCCCCCATCTCCCGCCCCTGGGCTGCCACACACAGGACTTTTACCTTGTGGCTTGGTGGCCGCAGACCCCAGCTCTAAGCTCCCAGAGCCCCAGCTCAGATCTGGGAGGCTGAGCCTCAGCTTAAGTGGCCTGGCCGGTGGGCTGTAGTCTCTGCCTGTGAAACCTGTCACAGTCACCCTGTCACTACAATCCTCATCATCAGCATGACGTCACAACTGTTTCAGGCAACAGGAGCAGCATCTCGACAGCCAGGGGGCGCCCATCTGGCCGCTGGGAAGTGCCCCCCCAAGATCAGAAGGCTCATGGGGGGGGCACGTGCATGGCAGGGAGTTGGGGGGGGTGGAGGGAAGGGTCAGGTGGGGAGGGAGAGGAAGGAGAGGTGAGAGCAGAGAAAGGGAGACAGCGTGTCACATAGCTTGGAGCTCCGAGGAGGCCTCGCTGTCCTCACACAGGCCACCTGCCAGCTAGGGGACGGGTCTCAGAGCAAACACCCCAGGGCCTTCATCATGGACTTCAGCCCCCAGGCTGCATCAAGGTGGCTGGGGGGGGCACCCCGGGGGAGGAAGGAGGGTGGCGCACAGAGTGCGAGCACAGAGTAGGATGGAGTTCTCCACTGGGAAGCACACAGCCGGGGCTCCGGCTCCCTGTGGGGTGGAACAGGAGGCCGGCGGAGGTGCTGGTGAGGCTGTCCCCAGGCCCAGCCCGGGCCCAGGAAGACACAGGCAGAAGGGCCGGGACAGAGTGAGCCAGGGCTGCCGGACAGATGCGGCTGGGACTCCCGGAGCCCAGCGGCCATCCCATGATGAGCGGACTGTGAACCTCGGGAGAAGCCGGGCGGGGGCACACAGCTCTGGCCTCTACACACTCACACTGCTTCAACA